ACGCGCGCGGGGAGGCCGGGCTCCACCGTCAGCCTGGAAGGGTTCCACGTACGGGAACAGCCTACTTCGCAGATGAGCCCACCGAGGCATAGAGCCTCCGGGCGGATTCGGCGTTCCGCCCTCGCTCCTTGGGGTCCGCTGGCCGACCAGCGCCACCCGGACGCTCGGCTCACTGTCTCTGTCTCCCCCCATCAGCGCAGCCCCGGACGCTATGGCCCACCCCTCCGGCTGGCCCCTCGTGTAGGATGGTGGCACGCAACCAGGTGGCAGCAGACAATGCGATCTCCCCGGCAGCAGAGTCCCGACGGCGGCCAGAGTCCTCCTCATCCTCGTCTTCATCCTCGCCGGCGGCCCCCGCACGTCCGCGGCCCTGCCCTGCGGTCCCGGCCCCGGCCCCTGGCGACACTCACTTTCGCACGTTCCGCTCCCACTCCGATTACAGACGAATTACGCGGACCAGCGCGCTCCTGGACGCTTGTGGCTTCTACTGGGGACCCCTGAGTGTGCACGGAGCGCACGAACGGCTACGTGCCGAGCCCGTGGGCACCTTCCTGGTGCGCGACAGTCGCCAACGGAACTGCTTCTTCGCGCTCAGCGTGAAGATGGCTTCGGGCCCCATGAGCATCCGCGTGCACTTCCAGGCCGGCCGCTTCCACCTGGACGGCAGCCGCGAGACCTTCGACTGCCTCTTCGAGCTGCTGGAGCACTACGTGGCGGCGCCGGGCCGCATGTTGGGGGCCCCGCTGCGCCAGCGTCGCGTGCGGCCGCTGCAGGAGCTGTGTCGCCAGCGCATCGTGGCCGCTGTGGGCCGCGAGAACCTGGCGCGCATCCCTCTTAACCCGGTACTCCGCGACTACCTGAGTTCCTTCCCCTTCCAGATCTGACCGGCCGCTGCCGTGCCCGCAGCATTAAGTGGGGACGCCTTATTATTTCTTATTATTAATTATTATTATTTTCCTGGAACCACGTGGGAGCCCTCCCCGCCTAGGTCGGAGGGAGTGGGTATGGAGGGCGAGGTGCCTCTGGCTTCTGGCCGGAGACCCCATCCCGCCTCTGGGGGGCTTCCCCTCCTGGTGCTCCCTCCGGGTCACCTGGTTGTAGCAGCTTGTGTCTGGGGCCAGGACCTGAACTCCACTCCTACCTCTCCATGTTTACATATTCCCAGTATCTTTGCACAAACCAGGGGTGGGGGAGGGTCTCTGGCTTCATTTTTCTGCTGTGCAGAATACCCTATTTTATATTTTTACAGTCAGTTTAGGTAATAAACTTTATTATGAAAGTTTTTTTTTTAAAGAAAAAAGATTTCTGGAGCGTATGTTTTGGCCAAACGTCCTGGGTTGGGGGCAGGGATATTCAGATTGACTTTCTTGAAGTGGTTGGGGATTTGGGCAGCGGACACAGCTCCTCCCACAGCACTGGGGACCAAACTGCCAGGCTACTTTTGGTTTGTGTTTGGAAAGATGGCGGCTCCAGTCTGAGCTCTCCTGGTTATCCGTGCCTGGTCTCTGCTACCCCTGCTTGAGCGAATCCTACAGCCCCTGATACTTAGTATTGCCTTGTCCCCCCTTTGAGCGACAGGTCATTGTGCCAGACCTCTCCTGGTGGAGAGGTGGGCCCTTTTGACTGTCCACCCAGCATCAGTTTGAAAAGGATGACAGAGAGGAAACTTCTTTGCTCCTCTGACCACAACTACTTCCAGGAAGAGGGTGGGGCAGAGCGGCCAGGGCTCACCGAGTTTTTGGAAGGAGTGGCAAGTTCTGCAGTCAGAGGGGATGATGAGCCATGCTGGCTTGACTGTTGCTTCCCACCCTACTCTGCCTTGTGTACTTTTTCGGAGCCAGAAAGCTGCTTTGCGGTCTGTGGTGGCAGGGGCCCTGGTGCTGCTGGTGGCTGGGGCAATTCCCTCTGCCTCTCTGAAAGGCCCAGCTCTGTGAGACACAGTGGTGGCAGGCGTCCAGGTGGAAGGGCTGTTTCAGGACACTTGTGGGGCACCAGAAGGGACCCAGGACCCTGGCTTTGAGGCAGGTGGGCTGGATAGGAACTGGTAGGTACTGAGTCACAGCGAAGTTTGGGACTAAGCATGTTCCACCTCATATTCGGAAGTTGTCATGACTCCCGCAGCCTGAGACATGCTTCTAGTGGCTTTCCTAGTGTTCAGAGGAATCAGCTGCTCTGGGCACACTTGCCTGGCCCAGACTTGCTCTGTGGTTTTAAA